CCCCTCCCTCTTCGCCATATCTTTAATTTTTGCAGTTTTTATTTTAAAGATTGACGTCTCATTTCGTATTGGAGGGATTATACAAACATTAAATACAGATCTTGAAGTATTTGCAGAGGCGTTTTTTTAATATTTACTCTCCTTAACAGATCTGTTGAAAATATGTAGTTTAACAATTTATTTTATTGCCTGATAAGAATCTTGACATTGTCTCGCGACTTCCCATCATTGGCTGTTAAAAGTAACCGATCGTGTTGATAAGATCTTACATAATTTGTTTTTTTTTCCTTGCATGGCCTAAACAAATGGAGTATTGGTCGGAGTACTTCCCTGTCGTTATGCATTTATTTCAACCTGTCTCTCATTTAAACCCTTTTAAATCTAAACGTTTTTCAAACAGCTGTTTATGAAAAAAGCTGATGATTAGGTTTCCATCTTTTATATTGAATTTGTAAAAAGAGGGAAATAAAAATGCTCGTTAGCGTTAGGGAATACAGTGATTGTGTAATGTTCTTTACTTAGTGTTTTGCATTGTAATAGATGATGTGTATGACCTTTCGAAAAATGAGGATGCGTGAAATTCTCCGAAAAAGCGATTACTATCAAGTGTTTTTATGAATCTTCAAGTATAGGAAAAATAAGGCCTAAAGATTGAAGATATAGAGATTTTTTTGCATATACATTTACAATGAAAACAGTATACTGGATACGTTATTTCCTGCTGACTCAATGCTTAAAGTGACAAAGTCAAGTTAAAATATTACATGTTCATTTTCCCTCACGTTCAAAGATGTGCATATGAAATAGACCATTTCAAAATAAGCTGTGAAAATTGCACCGGCCCATTATTTCTATTATCGGTATTTGCTTTTGGTACTTGATTTTTTGAGTAAACAATTTATCCACTACTCTCCATAAAATGACCGGTTTATCGAAACAGGAAACAAAGGGCGCGTCGTTTAAAAATAATTGAAATTTTGGATCCGGATTGCATAGAGCTGCACTGCTGGAGAAAGGATTTTTATATCTAATACTCACCCCACAAATTATAACTAAAGATAAAAGTTGTCGTAAAGTCCACATTGTTATTGTCCTGTTTTACTCCATGTCATGTACAATCTTAATCCCCCTCTTCTTCATTTTCCTGTTATCCCGGGATTTGACTTCCGCCCTAGCTCACGTGGTTTCATGGAACTTTCATATTCAATAGATATACTTATAACTGAAAATATAGTCTGCTTGTTTGCATAGTGTTACTGGGACACACTTCAATAATTTATTAGGGGTGTATTTACAACAGTGCTCTTTAACGTGACTTCGGCCATCATAGTTCACATCAATTTTCTGATAAGATGACTGTTTTACATGAGAAAGCGGGAATGTACACTTATGGATCACGAATACCGTATTTGTTGATAAAATCAACAATGAAAGGATCTTTTACTTTCCAGATAGAATTCCTCTCTTTCAAATTTGTGAGAAGTTTTTTTTCCTCCAGGTTTTCAGAAGGAGAAAAGACTTATGAATGTCTGCACACGACTGATACAGTGGACGGATGTCATCTATTTCTCATTATTGCTCAGTGAAGACTTTCCTAACACTGTAATACTTACTGGTCAAAATATCATACTTACAATCACCTATTCCATGTTTAAGATGCAATTTAGTGAATGTATAATTTACAGCCATAAAGAATTCAAACTTACAGATCATTCTATTAAATAAAGTACGGTATTGAAAAACACAACTCGGGAAATTTTCCAACCAACAATATTGAAATAATTTCAAAATGTAAATAGAAATTTTTTTAAAAAAAAGACAGAAACCAGAATTGTCATAAATGTTTTTTTTTTTGTCCCCCGCTTGAAAAGTAGGGGATATTAATTTGGGTTTGTCCGTCCGTCCGTCCATCTTTCTGTCTGTCTGTAACGCTTTCGTTTCCACACGATATCTCGAGAACCCTTTGAGCTTTTGCAATGAAATTTAGCATAGCAACTCCCTATGGACTAAAGAAGAACCCTATTGATTTTGAGGTCAAAAGGTCAAGGTCATAAAAGAGCAAATTCTGTCTGTAATAACACTTTCGTTTCCACACGATATCTCTAGAACCATTTGAGCTATTGCAATGAAATTTTACATAACAACGCCATGTGGCCTAATGAAGACCCCTATTGATTTTGAGGTCAAAAGGTCAAAGTACAAGGTCGTATATTTATACATCCTGTCTGTGTGTAACACTATCATTTCCGGGCGATATTTCAAGAAGATTTTGAGCTTGTGCAATGTAATTTTATATCAAAACTCCCTAGGACCTCTCTCACCCCTCTCAAAGTGCCCCGCCCCGTCTGTTTGATTAGTATTTATTGTATTACATGTCGCTATTTTTAGCACAGGGCCATGAGGAGAGTTATTGCGTATAAAACAGTTTCCCGGCGGACTATGTTCTTATTACATCTATTAGAACTGTTTAATAAAGGCTAAATAAATCAAATACCATGGATTGTGTAAAATTTTGACAATACCGAACATGAATATATACATGTATGTGACTTCACTTCTGCATATACATAACTCTATTTAAAGCGATTCCGTGGTCTAGTGGTATGTTTCTCGCTTCCAATCTGAGAGGTCCCGAGTTCAAGTCCCGGATGGACCTTTTTTTTTTTTGGAAATACTTTTTTTGTACTAAATAATAGTATTCAGCACGCGAAATGAAAAAAATTACGAGGTCTGACTTGTACAAACTCATAAAATCATCATTACAGTGTGATAAATATTCCATATAAAAGGAATCTTCTATACACATAATTAAGAATAAGCAATTAAATCTTTATATCCATATTGACATATTTTATTTGCTTCAGTATACATGTATACATTTAATAATTCTACAAATTCAGCCAGGGAGATCCGACCTCCCCCCCCCCTCCCCGAACTGCGCATGGTTTACTTTTTTCCTAAGCGGGGGACACAAATTCTCTGAATTAGCTTGTTTTTAAGTAGAATCGCTTTAAACCTGATTCCGCCCTCTATGGCATGTTTCCTCTCGCTCTTTCCTCACTCCTTTCGCCTTTCTGTAGCTGATTCCTCTAGCTCTAACTGTATTTCTCCGGCTCTTTGCATAGCCAGATTTATCTCGCCTTGGCCTGATTTCTTTAGCTTTAGCCTGACTCTTTTTTGCTATAGTCTGATTCCTCCCACTGTACCCTGATTTCTATAACCTGATTTTCTCGCTGTAACCAGATTCCTCTCGCCATAAATTGATTTCTATTGCTATTGCCTGAATCTTCTTGCTATAGCCTGATTCGTCTCGCTATATATATTCTAATAATTCTTTATTTGGCAAGATTTGTATTCTTGCTCCTCTTGCTATATCATCGCCTGCATGGCGCAGTGGTCAGAACGTCTGCTCTAAAGTCACGAAGTAAGGAGTCAATCCTTACGTCGAGGGTTCGAATCCCACTGGGGGACATGAAGACTGGTCCTTCGGATGAGACCATATAAACTGAGGTCTCATGTCGCAGAAGGTACTGGCACGTAAAAGATCCCTCCCTGCTCAATGGCCCTGAGTGCCGAGCATAAGACAAAATGTGTAGCTCTCCACCGGCAAGTGGTGGTGTCTCCATATGAGTGAAAAATTCTCCAGAGGGACGTACAATCAATCTTGCTATATCCTGATTCATTTCACTAGAACCTGACTCCTCTCACTAGAGCCTGATCTCCCTCATCACTAGAGCCTGATTCCTCTCATCACTAGAGCCTGGTTCCTCTCATCACTAGAGCCTGATTCCTCTCAATAGAGCCTGATTCCTCTCATCACTAGAGCCTGGTTCCTCTCATCACTAGAGTCTGATTCCGCTCATCACTAGAGGTGATTCCTCTCATCACTAGAGCGTGATTCCTATCATCACTAGAGCGTGATTCCACTCATCACTAGAGCGCGATTCTTCTCATCACAAGAGCGCGATTCCACTCACTAGAGCGTGATTCCTCTCATCACTAGAGATTGATTCCTCTCATTACTAGAGCGTGATTCCTCTCATCACTAGAGCGTGATTCCTCTCACTAGAGCCTGATTCCTCTCGATTTATAGTCTAATGTAAATTTCAAAAAGCAGTACTTTTTTCTGCAGATAATGCTGAGGTGTAAATTATTGCCATTACTGTATCCTTTGTATTACTATTCATGTGTATATGTAACTTACATTTTCTAGTTATTGTATTATTGTAGTACTTCAAATGATCAAAATGGTTCCTTTCTGAAGCATTAGCAGATTGAAAGAAAACACAAACAAAAAATAAACCTTTAATAAAATACTATTGTTTCACAATGAGCTAGACCTGATCAAATCTTTAGGACACTATAAAGGGGCAGGAAGGTAATTGGGGCATTTAACTTTAAACGTTTTGATAAGCGAGGTAATTCCGACAGCGTCTTTATTCATGGCAATCCGAAATTATAATGTAAACCCTCATCTAACGGCGAACTGACTTGAACAGGTATGAGAATTTTGCTTGTTTTTTGTTTAAACATAAGTTCCGTGCGCAAGTAATGAATGGAACGGACAAACTTACAAACAATTCCGTAAATTTTGACTGCAGTGTACTAATTAATCAAAGGGGTCTTTATAAAAATAAATTGATTTGAACGTCCTTTAATTCATATCCTATTGATGTACAGCTGTCATGTCGTATCCCACTTTTTTAGTCCCAGTTTTAGTTATACACTACAATACACTACATGTACTACATTACCAAAATGATAATTTTAAATAGAAAAAAGTTTTAATTGGAAAAGTAATCGCGTATAAATTAGAGATACGTGTAATAGTTTACAGGTTTGGGCGTGTATCATCAATAATAGAAGCAGAAAAAAAGTAAGATATATTTCTTGCATTACAGACTGAAATGAATGTAGTGTCGGTTGTAAAATTTTGTAATCATCAATTGAATATTATTGGGGTTTTTTTTTCTTCTTTAACATTATCCAGTTTCTTTTGTAGAAATTTGCATCCCCATTAAGAGTTCCTGTTAAAAAGCAAAAACCTGTCCTGATTTTTTAAAGACTGGTTCAAAGGAGAAATGAGACGATATCGTCGTCCCATTAGCTGTTATTGCCGTATTCGATTAACGATCGTCTTTGTATGCATTTCAAGCATTATCATAGGTATTATACACTTCAACATACCCGATTTACCGACAAGAGTGACCAAAAGAATCATTAAAGTTTTGGAAAGATGTCCATTTTTTCCTTCAACAGTTGAAGAAAATCTAAAGGTGGTTGAAAATTATCCCTTTAACATTTCAGAAACTTTGAAAAGGGAATTGAATCTTGATGAATATGGAATTAAGGTTAACCTTAATCAAACTCCAGATTCACAGATTGTGCTTACCTCTGCTGCAAGTTCTGCTAATTATTTAGAAATTCAAGGCTTCATTAGCAACGTGAACATCCATGTGGCCCCAAAATTCTCCGACTTTGAATTCATCATATTCGACATTGGTTTGAAAAAATCAGAGGCTCGCTTTATCAAGAAAAACTGTTATTGTCGGTTAAGGAAATTTCCATTCAAAGAATACCCTGATCACCTCGGGATTGTTCGAACAAATACATGGAAACCTGTGCTTATTCAGCTCCTGTTCTCGGAATTTCACATCGTCATATGGGCAGACTCCTCAGTGCGATTCCTCGGAAAACCTCTGGACAATTTAATTCATAGAACAGTGACCAATGGAATACAATTAACTGAAGGTGGCGGATCTATAGCATTGCGAACAAACACCATTACTTTTAAAGCGCTGGGTGAAAAACCATGCATGTTTGATAGGCCCGAATTAGAAAGTAGTTTTATTTCAATATTTAGAAATCATTTTACTTTGACTAGCATAATGCTTCCTTGGGTTTCCTGTGCATTACAGTACAATTGTATGGATTTTGATTTCGCATTGAAAAGTATAACGTGTCTTGAGAAGAAAAGTTGGTCATATGGCGCGTGCCACAGATTTGACCAATCAGTGTTAGGAATTATCATAACGAGGCTCTTTTCCAGTGATATTGAAAACATTCTGTTTAAATTGGATGACATTGCTTATATCAAAAGACGCCATTATGTGTCTTAAAGAAGTTAAGCGAATAAGCCGAGAAATGTGTCTGGTTTTATTAATAATAAAGTGAAAATTAAATCCTAATTACAACTGATCAGTTTTCCTTCCTTTTTCAGCTAAAATCAAAAGTTTGTATACTTTAAGTAAAATCTGCAAAATAAGCAATCTCTGTTAAGTTTATTCACCCAAATACGGCAGAACACTAAGCAGGAATCAAAATTAATTTTCTTTTTCTTCAAACTAAATTACAATCTTATGATTATTATTTTTTTTTCAGTTTGAAAGTATATTTCACAGTACATGTACTATTATTTTTTATAGGTTCAAATCCTTTGAAATTCCATTTATCACCAAAATTTTGTTTGAGTAATTTCATACTATTCAATAATTAGAAACTTTACCTGTAAAAATTATTTTTTACGTTGAACTTGATTTTTAAAAAACTTGAAGCTATAGGCATTTTGAAGACTTTGTTCGCCCATGTTTTTGAACACATCCTTTATAAAAACATATAAATCAGTACAAAAATACTCAAAAGACACATATGGACGTAGACGCAACGAATATCGGACAATTTTGTTTTTTACATAAAAAAAGGGGGGGGGGGGATTAATAAATCTGTCCAGAAAGATAAAAAAAAAATGCACATGTATATGATATTTTGATTGCGTATACCCAGTATACAAAATTAGAATTCGAAAGATCAAAACAATTTTCATACCCAAAAAGATACTTTTTTTTACCGATGAATGTAACATATATATCATTTGGATACCGTTCATGAATTGCCTTGAAAATACGTAGATGGTGGTAGTTTTAACGTAAGAGTTGTAACAGGGGGCCTTAGGGCCAGTGTACGTAGAAATCCTTTTTCCTACATAACCGGGTACCTACTGATGAGGAAGTCATTGACCACCTAGGAAATTCTTTTGGACATTAAAGCGACTAATATAAAATATACACTTGGACTAATAAAAGGTAAGTACTAATCTTTTTTTATATTGAATATTCTATTTTGATTCAAATATTATCAAAACTTAGAGTTTAAATGATTTAAAACAGTGAACACAATATACCTATTTCATATGACAAAATTTGCATGTTAACTATTAACATTTACATCCACTGAATATTTTCTCCTTTCTTTCTAAAGAAAACAATTGCAGTTTATCAGTTCATGAACAACACTAAGCTATTTCTTGATCAGGGCTGTTCCATCAATGAAACGTGCTATGACGTACCTATCAATAATACAATAATTAATCTTAATCAGATATACATATAAAAACTAAATTATCTTTCTTTGGTAGTTAGTACGTGAATTAACGTCACAGCTATTGCAGAAAAAACTTCTGCAACAGCTGCGACATTAATTTCCATATTAACAACCAAAGAAAGCATTTTATTGTTTAAACACTTAGCGCATCATGGTAAAAGGAAGCGTACTTACTGTTTTCAAGCAACTATTTTCACATAATAACTAACTTTAACAAAATTAAGGAGTCACATGTTTGATAATCTAATTCTCCTAATTCCCCTTTAAATAGCAGTCCCTAGCCCTAACCCTAGCTAGTTTTGCTTGTTTAAGAACACTTTCAGAGGGAAAGAAATCATGACATTCACAATCTTTGTTCTGTTTAGCACAAAGCAATGAGCATACTGTGTCATTCTTCAGTTCAAATCAAAATTCAGTACATTTTTTTCATCATTGAAAACATTCTCCCTGAATCAGCATATGAAATAGGAATTACTTGACACATTAAAGTCAGTTTGGTTAAACATGGAAATCTTTTCTTATTAGTTCTAATATAGGTGATTTTTAAAGTGATTTTTCACCTGATAGGTAGGTTGACGTCGTAATAGTGTGCTTATGACGTTACAATCAACTAAAGCTTAAGGAAAAAGTATTAAATATAAACTCTTGATATTTATAAATCATAAAAATTTGAAAATTTCACGTGGTTGTAAATATTTAGCATCAATATAGGAGCTGTTTATCTTAAACATGACTTATATTATTATGACGATATTGATATGATATTAAAACTGGTTTGTAATCCGATTGTTCATTTCCTTTCTAGTTTACATCTGTTACCAGCCTTCCTAATAGAGTTTTTTTTATCTTAAACAGAGAGAAGAACTCTTCAAAGATGCTACGAACGTGTCGAAGGAACCGATTTTCGATAATATGTGCAATAATTTTTGTTGTTGTAATAGTGGTAAATTTCTGTGAATTGGTATATAAATATGACAGAAGTTTAACTGTGATAAATTCAAATGCACACGTGAAACGTAAAGAAAACGTCGAGCCTGATTTCGAACAGATTGACAGTAAAGTTTTCGGAAAACAAGGATTGAATGATCAATATAGTGACAGTTTTTCAGAGGGCCATCAGTATCAAGAAAATAAACTCCAGGAAATTGAACCTGATTCTGAGTGGGTGCATCGCATGAATCAGCTGTTTGAAAATGCCCCCACGGAAAACTTTGATAAAGACCCCTTTATCAGGCAGAACACCAGCAATGGCGCTTGTGAAAATTTCTATCCAACTTTTAAAGAAAATCTTTACAAAGTGTTGAATTACTCTTTAAATGTGCCAAAGAAGTACTTGGAAATGTTAAGCTTGGATGATGCTGGAATAAGAAATTTAACCGAACACGATTTAAATTCACCATATCCAGTAATGGCCTCTGCTGCGTCGTCAAACCACTTTCGTGAAATACAGGGATTAATTCGAGATTATCACAAAAAGCTCTTACCTATTTATCCGGGTATGAAATTGATATTGTTCGACTTGGGACTGAATGCTAAACAATTAAAACTGATGACAAAGTATTGCAAGTGTGAGGTTAGGCAATTTCCATTTCAGATTTTCCCGGATCATATTCGAATTTTAAGCGGATATGGCTGGAAGTCGCTTATAATACAACTTCTGTTACAAGAATTCGATTTTGTCATGTGGACAGATGCCTCAATTCGATTTAATGGAAGACCCCTTGATAAACTTTTTCAGGGCGCCAAAGAGGTCGGCGTCCAAGCTATTCCTGGTTCGGGCTCCATTGCCGTACGCACAAATCAACGCACGTTTACAGCACTCGGAGAAGAAATGTGCTTATTTGATTACCATGAGTTTGAAGCAGGATGGATGGCGGTCGTGCGGTCCGAATTTACTCTGACTGCGGTTATGAGGCCGTGGGTTTCGTGCGCTTTACAGTATGGCTGTATGGATTTTAAAAACTCGAGGTCTTTTCTCGGATGTCCATTGAGAAAACAGAGATATGGTGCTTGTCACAGATTTGATCAATCAGTGCTTGGAATAATCCTTACTAGACTGTTTAATTATAAATCACATCTTTGTCAATTTATAGTAAATGGTATAGGATTTATCAGAAGGGGAGATTATGTAAATTACTTTCCCAATTCTTAATAACCATTATTTTATTATAAAATTACAGAAAGTTACCGTTTTGATTAATTTATTCTTTAAATCTATGACATTATAAACTGAAAGACTTAATGTAATAATAATTCAAAAGGAGATTCCTCAGTAAAAAAAAAAAATAGATACATGTCCCCTACCGGATTCCCCTTTCTCTTTAGGGTGTCATTTTATAATATGCAAAAGTTATGATCAAGGTAAAACTGCTTGATTTCAAAATTTTGAGGTTGTGCATGCCTTTAACCTTAAAAAAAAAAAAAAACAAAATTCAGCTTAATATCTGCAAGAAAAAAAAAGTGCGGAAAACCAAGTAGGACAGACTGACAGACAGACATGGGGCGGCTAGACGGACGGACGGACAGACAGACGCAGAGGAAACCTATAGTCCCCTCCGGTTTCACCGGTAGGGGAGTAATAACAACTATGTGACGTACAATTGTGTTACAATGCCATAGTCAAGCACACAGCTCCTTGTGTCCAATACAATGTCCCTAGAAAGCTATAATAACCTTTACCAAACAAAATGCTCTCATATATTTTCGGTGGGAGGACTGCACATAAAGTCTAAGCCTATACTCGGTATTTACGGCTTTGAGCAGTGAAGGCTTTTTTTTCAGAGTTCGGCACAGTGGATCTAGGTTTTTACTCAAAAGCATGCTTCGATAACGATATTTTTCAATGCGATGCAGGCTACTGAAGATTAGTTTATTTAACAGGGAATTAAACACCCTAGTTTAAAGTCAGCATTTCATAAATTCTTTGCTTGCTAAAATAACTTGGTTCGCAAATAAAACATATCATTTGGTTGTTTTGGGGCTGATTGTTTAATTAATACAAATTGTCAGGATTTTGTTTTGATACTAGTTATGCTACAGAATGTTCCGTCTCCGTATTCGATACAGGACTGAAGGCGGCGTGTGAACAGTCAGCAGGGGAAGATTTCTTCTCTCTTGGTACCTAATCCAGCCTTTAGGATTTCCAAGGGTCCGTGTTTAACAACTCGTCACAGATTTGTATCGTTCATAGGACTTTTGGTTGTTTTGTTCTTTTTGTAAAGATTGATTACTGGCCGTTATCTTCACCCTTTGTTCATTGATAAGGTTTCTTCCCAAGGACCGGTATCCAAGTCTCGCAATCTGTATTGAACCCGCTAAGGATCAACTCCTTATTCTTTGGCTCAGTAGCTTGTGATTCAACGACTTCCGCAGTCATGCATGCATCTTGCAGTGAGGGTAGGTGCATACAGTCGCAGGCTACGACAGAACGACATATTTCATTTTTTCAAAATTTCTTTGTCAGCCTTTTAAAACAAGCATTTTGGAAAATCCTTCATTAATTTGTGCCTAATAAAAATTCATGTACATGTACTTCTTTTGAAAAAAAAATGTTTAGAGTTTACTGGAAAATGTTGTTTAATAAAAGAATTTTTCAAGAATATATCATTAAGATTTATTTAATATAATATTCTTTTCATATATTGTGCAAAGGGCAATAACTCTTATCCACATTATGACATTATCATGTGTCACTCGGCTTTTTCCGTCGACTTTATCAACTGGCATATTTAATGATGCGCACTTTGTAGTCTCTGGCACACTTTTTTGACAGATAATATTTTCCTCTTTCAAACAATACTTACCTACTTGCTCCATTTCTTTAAGGTGTGAACTAACAACAGTATTACAATTATTTACAATGTTTTAAAAATTCTTTTTATTTCCTGTAGCATAGAATGCGCTCGTCATTACATTTATTATGAGCTCAACTTCTTTTTTTTCTAAATACTTCCGCATGGCAAGGTTTATCAAATGCACACGATATAGTCAAGAATACCGGTATGACATACTTAACTATGTCAAATGGATTTACATATGCCTTCCAAGTCACTGGTTCAAAATCCAACATAAAAATACCTTGAAATTCAATTAGTTGATTTCTTCAATTATTACCCAATTTACCACAAAAAAAATTAAGGCAACTATAATTTAAAAACAAGAACACATAAAACTTTCAAGAACATTTTGCTCTTTTTTTAATGATTTTTTTTTTTCAAAGTAATATATGAGCCAGTCAAATATCAATTTCTCATAAACTGTTTATATACAGAACAAAGTAGAAAACTTTAAAAAGTCATGTTAGTCCAGAAGAATAAAATTAAAACCGTTGTTAGTTTGAACTGGCTTTTGTGTGGAGATTTTAGCTCTGGAGCTGTTTGTCATACATGTACTCTCCCAGACCAGACCCCACACGCTTCAGCTGGGTGATGTGATCCGAGATCTCCTTAATGGCATCCACTTGCTCCTCAAGGTAGTTAGACTCCAGGAAATCAGTCATCTGGAAAAATACAATTAAAAACTAATTAGTTAAAAATCTATAATTATGATAACTCTCAAGATATTATCAAATGAACGAAGATTTCAATCCAATAATTTAGAAGTGAGAAAGCAAGAATAATTAGGGGGTTCAGGTAACCCGACTTACCTATGTAATCGTGCCATTTAAACTCAATTTATCAATTGCTTATAAACGTAATTTTTGCATTATTATTCATATTTATCTACAAATTAAATATAATGAATTTTTTCTACATTGTTTGAACTTTCGTATGATATGTGTGTTATGTCATTCTGAAGAGTTTGCATTCAAAATTAACCCGGTCGAAGTTGTGCTAAAATTGGATACGGGGTTTCCCCTTTGATGTATGGCACTGTAGTTTTGTCTCCGCGGCGTTGATAGCGTCATTTTGATTGGCTTTCCGGGAGGCGATTTTTAAGGAATTGACGACATTGACATATCACAGGAAAGCTTACATTTTGAAGATCAACATTTTTAATGTTGCATCTCGATGCAATGTGCAGAAGTTTATGTATTTTCGTTTCAAAGGAAAGAAGTCAATTTTACTACGGTAAGTAATCGAAATATTTTTCTGCAACATACACCATTAGAAAGCTGAGAAAATTTCCTATCTGAATATTATGGTTCTGTAATAATTTCGGAAAATAATTCACCCGGATTCCAATCAAAAGTCGTCACCCCGACGCAACTTTTGAACAGTTTCTATGTACTTTATATTCATGCACACTTTTGTATCGTAAAACCACAAAAGAAAATAGAAATGCGACATTTAATATAAGGATCGACTTATTGGGAAAAAAATCTATGAAAAATATCATTTCCTACAATGTACTTCACATACAAAATGTACATGTAAATAGGGTAAACAGGGACCTATAAACGGTCAATGATATAAATGTACAAATTTAATTCTGTTGCCAGGATTTCCTCTAGATTCAGAAATACATATAATGAACTGTATAATAACTGAATAACCCGAAGTTCTTGTAACTAGGCCCTATAAAAATATTTTTGTTATTAACATGACACTCTGTGGTTATTTTTTTTTCAGTGAGTATAAACAGCCAGACTTCGGAAAAATGCGAGAATCATTCCATATCATGATTATGGTACCCGCCGGTAGTAGCAGATGTCATTTAACTTGTCCAGGAAGCATGGATAATTTAGACTGAATATATACAATTATTGATTGATACCGAAAATTTGATATCATGTATTTTAAAGATCGATCTATACAAATTTTAAATAAAGTTGTGAATTAACTGTAGTTACTTCTTTTTTCCCAATTTTTGCCATTTTCATATCAATATTGACACCTTTCTTCTTTGTGATGTCCAGACAGAACTCAGACTTTTAATGAGCATAATTGATTAAGATCACTATTTTTATATTTTGATAAATCTTTTAAGAGTAATAAATTGTAAAGAATTTATAAAATTTCATTATTTTTTTCCTAACTTAAGATTTTGAAAGCATTTTATCAGAAAGACTGTATCCGCCATTTTCAATGTTGGTGGCCATATTGGATATTTTGCCACCATCTTGGATATTTTTTACCTGGCATGGAAACAGAAAATTAGGGCTTGCATAGACCTTCCCGAAAATATATAGTTTGCCGTACTTCCAAATAAAATTAGACTTGTTACTTAAAAAACTATCTAGATTTAACGGGTTTTTCTTCCTTTTATGTGCCATCAATAGGTACTCTTTAATAGTAAATTTCCTTACATAAAATAGCAGTATTCACAACATTGATAATTTCATAACTTCTGTTCTACTTGGAATTTTTTCACCAAGTAAAGTTTTTTATATTTCTGAATGTGTCCATATTTGTGCTAGAATATATTTATTTGAATATATGTCATCGAAAATTTATACCTGAACCCCCTAGAATAATTGTATATTTGGACAGTTTTCCAACTAGCACATATACAAACACAAGCTATATATATACAGTTAATTTCATGACATTTTATGCAAGATTAAAGCAAATTAAAACCAATGATACCTGAGCATCTGAGTGACTGTCGGCAACTTTGTGAAGGTCAAGCAGGGATTGGTTGACACTCTTCTCTAACTGCAGCGCTACCTGCATGGCATCAAGTCCTGTTCCCCACTCATCGCGGTCAGGTTTCTATACAATTCAAAATATCATTTAAATGCTACATGTAATCAACTAAAGAACGAAACATCATTTACATCACATGAAGTATGTGGTTCAGTTATACAATTTCTTATTCATTCATTTCAATTTAAGTCAGTAACACTAAATTCTATTATTCTTCTGTCAAATTTGAATCAAAAGTACTCTGAATTATTTAATAACGGCTTACTAACCTCCAGAAAATTCAAACAAATTTAACAACTATTTCTTCAAATTATATATGACCGATTAGCTAGGGGGTGTCCACACTGCGACTCGAACCTACAACCCTCAGATTTAAAATCCAATGCTCTACCGACCGAGATAAAGGGTTAACCCACTAGCTAGTGCTAGTAGGAGCGTGGCCTCACTGTTTACAACTGTTTACTCATATGGCCACTTTTCAACTGTTACATATATATTAAAACAAACCTTGATGTCTTGGAGCACAATACGCCCTCCTCTTTTGTTCTGATATTTCATTAGCTTC